CCGCCACCGCACGGCTTTTGCAGTTGGTGCGCGGCTGGCTGGCCTACCGGCTCGTCTCCATTCACGTCGCCATTCATCTCCGCGCCGTTGTCAGGCTATTATGTCGCCGCCGCTTCCCTCGTAGTGATTGTTTAGCTGCAGGCCAGTCTCAACGGGCGGTTTACGCCCGCCTCCTCCTCCCTATCATCCCATCCCCTGAGAAACGAATGTCCGCAGGTAAGGCGATCATCCCTATCGCGCTGCCATTCTCTCATCTTGTTTCGTTCTCTCGCATTTTCTCCTCATGCGAAGCGCATCGCCGAGGCTCGCGAGGGACAAGAGAGACCGAAATGTCGAGAGACTGTAATTGAATCGAGCAGATTCGATCGTTGATGCGCGCGACGTTTATAACCTGTCACGAGCACATTGGCAGTCAATCGCCATCGACTTGCCAATTATATACGACGATGAGCCTCTGTCCCGTGATGAAATTTCGAATTTGCTAATTCAGCTCAGTTTATCGACCGTTTTGGCTGTCGACACAATGTCGCGAATCGTTGACTGTCGAAAAAGCGTCGGTCATTTTTATCACGTTTACTTTCTCTCTCCGTTGTTTTTCGCGTTTTTTATAATAGCTTGACTGAGTATTTTTGTATGGGAGTACATGTCAAATACGTTCGTGCATTGACATTTACCTTTTGCCACGTTACTTTAGATTACATTTTTTAATATTTTTCTGCAAAGGACATGATATTCCCATGTATGTAATTAAATAAAAGCTATTATTTAACGCATTGCCGGGTCCACCAACAGTAACGCAAATTAAATAACGAAATTAGCGGCTCTTTTCTATCTCTGCCTTTTTTACTTCATCCAGAGAGAAAAAAATCTGTTAATTTCAGGCTGACATAATTAGATATAATAATGAATTCAACAGTAATGAATTATAATAGTTAATATATAAACTATGCATAATTCAGTCATAAATAATTCAAAACTGCGATTATTGTTTCTCGATCGAAATGAAATGGATGCTCATTAAAGAGAAAGCAGAATGAATTAAACGAGCAATCACATGTACACTTGGAAAATTTGTATTAAATTTATATATATATTAATACATTTCGCACTCAAACAGTTCACTTAAATTTTTATATTAATTTAACATAAGATGATTATATTAGAAAATAACATAAATATTATGGAAAAAAGATTGAAAAGGATAATGAACTTTTCTTTTTTTTTTAATCTGTATATCTCGAAGCTTCCTAATTCTATTTTTATATGAACTTTACATTCTCCATCGATTGAAAAAAAAATTAATTGAAATATGTTCATTTTTAGAAGTTAGGTAACACATAAATATAGATGAAGAGTGTGTATATCATGGATAGAAAAAAAGTGTGTATAGCTAAGGTTAAAAATTTAACAGAAAATTTTAATAAGGACTTGAGTGAACCAATACAAATACAAAATGTTTTTTACTGTTTTCAACACAATTTATATATACTAGAAGTCTAATTCTGATTGCATTAATTGGGATTCTGACAGATTTATGTCCGTATTCATAGTCAGACCTTATACTTAAGACTTCTTCAAATTTTTATTTTTAGATGCTCAGCAGTCAATGAAATAATTTCTTAAAGTATCTGAAGATAAATTTAATGCTTCCTTAAATATAAGGCCTGAATACGCACATTACAGGTATCAATTAAATATTTACAATTAAATCTAATAAAATAATTGGTGATATAGTTAAATCTAATAAAATCTAATAATAAATGTAGTCGAATCAAATGTTCTAGTTGAGATTACCAGAAATTTAATTACAATAATAAAATTTTGATTCATATTATCAAGAAATCAGAATGCGTTTTCTTCGTACCTACTTCTTGTTGATATAACCAGACATTTTTCTCAGTGCACATGCATATACATATATCTATCCCATCACGACACAAAAGTACGATTTGTTTATACACGATCTCATCTCATGTTTCGAGTTTCGTTGTCTCTCAACGTTGAGACGTTCGCCGTGTATATATGACACCGATACCGATACGATAGCATTATATAAGCTTACAAATCGCACAGCGATGGCGGCCTCGATCGATGCGGCCCAATTCTGAACATGCCATAAATTTCGATCGTCGATACTATCCGAAATGTCTGACGCAGGCACGATCGACGGCTGTTCATTTTGAACTCGGTATGTTGGGACCGCTGCGCACGAACCGCAAAATTTTAGCGATCTTTAAGTTTAACGCGAAGTGAGAAATTTTTAAAGATATCTAACGCTTGGCGATTCGTGAAAATCCGTGATTTCTCTCTGCCTCATCGAAAATACGCATCGAATTTCGAATTTTTCTCGAAAAATTAGTTTCAGTTTCTTGAAAGAAATGTTAAAGGCTGACTTGTCTTGAAATTTATATAGAAACTAGATTCTATAATATATTTGACGAAAATCAATTTTTGAAATTTTATGCACGAAAGAAAGACTTTTTCTTCTCATCAAAAAAAATTAAAAATTGTTAAACATTGAATTTGTTCTTTATAAGTTATTGTATTAAAGACTATTTTTTTTTTATTGATTATAATTATTATACGTACTAATTGTAAGTTATTTTTACGATTTTTATATTATTCAGGATCTGCATGATTCTGAATTTAATCGGTTGTAATTACAATTCCTGTGTGCTTTCTTATTTTTATTCCAATGTGTATTAATGTTTAATTATACGATGATGAAGTATGAATCTTTACAGGCAGAAAATATCGATTTATATTTGACGAGTTCGGAGCAAAAAAAACGGAGCAAGTCCATAATTTATGACATCCACTTTGAATATGAAGATATATTTAAAGGAAATTTTACAAATTATGGACTTATTCTACTCCGACTTCTTTCATTCTTCTTCTTATACCTTTTCGTTGGAAGTAACTTCTACTGAAAATCTCGAGCAGTCATTTACAACCTCCCTCAGCTATTATAATCAATTCACTTCAGACTAACGTTAGATATATTTCAAACGATTCCTAAGAAAATCTCAAAGCGAAACTTTATTTCAAGAAGTAACTGTCGTTCGCATCGTTCGGTGTTCGGTTTATCAGCCTTTTTGTCTTTATTGACTTATCGGTCTTGTATTATCTTTTATTACGCTTGAGTTTTTCTCACTCGCGTAAATCAGTGAGCATCAGAAGAAACAATTTCGCGAGTATATTTCTACCTTTCTTCTTTATTTCTATCCCGGCATGCTATTGTCAGACAATGGCAGATTTTAATATAACGCATCCGCGAACGCAAACGCATCTTCACGACAGCGAGTTTTTCATTTAGTGCTACTTGTCGAAGTGAGATCTCTGGGGACAATCACGAGTAATGTCAGGAAAGGATTGTGTGTGTGTGTGTGTGTGTGTGTGTGTGTGTGTGTG